ATAATGACCCCACAGTTGAAAGGGCGAGCATGTTTGGTGGGACGGGGATTCGAACCCGCGACCCACAGATTGCGAGTCGAGCTCCCTAACCACCTGCCCATGCCCAATACGATTTGACTGTCACTCTTATAACAGAGTAGTAAATTAACAAACTAAGACTTGTAAGCACAATGGGGTTTATTACACAAAACATGTAATGTAGTACGCAATTTCAAATCGTTTTTTTTGTTAACTTACGAGTGTAATGTGCTTCTCTTTACTAGTATTTTTAGAACGACTCGGAGCGCGATCTTGCGACAACAGCACGCGATCCACGGACCCTCATGTTTACAGTCCGGCACGCTGACCATTAGGGCTTCAAGCTGAAAGTGCGAATAATACGCAGTAGCATCAAGTCTCAAAGTTTGGACTATTTGATCCGCGGGCGGAGCGCTAGTCGTTAGGCCACGCACTGCACATATTAATGGTTGTTTGATACTCTTGTACTTCACTTTAAAAAAAACCTTACATCACGAGTTACCTAATTTGATTTGTTAAATTTTTCTTGATCTACTTGAAACCAATTTTATGTAGTTATTTGTGATGATCGTAAATAAGAGATATATTTACATAAACTTGTAAATGTAACAGAGCAGGCGCCATCTGGTGGTAACTAGGTTCGACATAAGAACTTGATGTACTTTATCTTCCACCAATAGCATGAGAGTACAACTTTATATTTTCCACCATTCAGCATATAGACACCAATCAAGACGGTCTCATATCATTTGAGGAATTCAAGGAGTGGTGTCAAAAGGTGAGGTCAGATATTTTTGGTTTGAATGTTGTTATTGAACTACAATCTGTTTGTACGCACTGAGGTAAAAAAAAATAGACAATAATTTCGTTTAAAACAAACAAGTCAGTAGAAAAGGTGATTAATGATCCCCCCAGGATCCTAGTGTAGGACTTTAATATTGAATACAAGCGCACGTAATACCAATAATCTTGAAACTAATTGTGAATGATCTTTGACTGATTTACGTGGAGGTTTTTTTGTTTTTTTTTTTCTAATGAAGTAGCAACGACCAAATTTTAACTGAGTGAAATAGATTCCGTGAAAATCTGATAGTTTGGGGTTTTTAAACAGATACCTGGTATCATCTTACCACGTAGTTGAACGTTTTTAAACAGGTAACTGGTATCATCTTACCACGTAGTTGAACGTTTTTAAACAGGTAACTGGTATCATCTTACCACGTAGTTGAACGTTTTTAAACAGGTAACTGGTATCATCTTACCACGTAGTTGAACGTTTTTAAACAGGTAACTGGTATCATCTTACCACGTACTTGAACGGTTTTAAACAGATAACTGGTACCTTCTTACCACGTACTTGAACGGTTTTAAACAGATAACTGGTACCTTCTTACCACGTAGTTGAACGTTTTTAAACAGATAACTGGTATCTTCTTACCACGTAGTTGAACGTTTTTAAACAGATAACTGGTATCTTCTTACCACGTAGTTGAACGTTTTTAAACAGATAACTGGTATCTTCTTACCACGTAGTTGAACGTTTTTAAACAGATAACCGGTATCATCTTACCACGTAGTTGAACGTTTTTAAACAGATACCTGGTATCTTCTTATCACGTAGTTGAACGTTTTTAAACAGATAACTGGTATCTTCTTACCACGTAGTTGAACGGTTTTAAACAGATAACTGGTACCTTCTTACCACGTAGTTGAACGTTTTTAAACATATAACTGGTATCTTCTTATCACGTAGTTGAACGTTTTTAAACAGATAACTGGTATCTTCTTACCACGTAGTTGAACGTTCTCATAATGTAGTAACAATTAGTAACAAAGATATGTTACATTGTCTAAATGAAAGATATGCTAGAAACTGACATATCTAACTTATCTTTATTAGCTTGACGTACCCTCACTGTTTATGTATTTTCTCTCCGTTTTTCTTATATCTTAAACATTATTTTAAAGTCTAAGCGTATTCTGACATGCGTAGTGCAAGTATCTTGATGGTCAGTGATTTATTTAACAGCACGAGCTGAACTTTGTTAGGTTTTGAAGACAGGAAATTGTATTTTTTTCCTCTCATGCCTCCTTTTTTTTTTTTAACAGGACGAGAAGAGGTCAAAGAGTCTATTCCAGTTAGATACTGTAATGTAGATGAAAGAGTTCGGAAGATGAGCTGTTATTTTATCTGCTGTCCATAAATGCGGAACTGTTTGCCATGTGTACCTTCTAGTGTTCCTGCTCTACTCTTTCCGTCGCACTTATGTCTATGTAAAATCTTGTGTTACTCAGGTTATAAGTCACAAGTGTCCCTGTGAGACCTTACTTAAGTTGTGTTCCACAAGTGTCCCTGTAAGACCTTACTTAAGTTGTGTTCCACAAGTGTCCTTGTAAGACCTTACTTAAGTTGTGTTCCACAAGTGTCCCTGTAAGACCTTACTTAAGTTGTGTTCCACAAGTGTCCCTGTAAGACCTTACTTAAGTTGTGTTCCACAAGTATCCTTGTAAGACCTTACTTACGTTGTGTTCTACAAGTGTCCCTGTAAGACCTTACTTAAGTTGTGTTCCACAAGTATCCTTGTAAGACCTTACTTAAGTTGTGTTCCACAAGTGTCCTTGTAAGACCTTACTTAAGTTGTGTTCCACAAGTATCCTTGTAAGACCTTACTTAAGTTGTGTTCCACAAGTATTCTTGTAAGACCTTACTTAAGTTGTGTTCCACAAGTATCCTTGTAAGACCTTACTTAAGTTGTGTTCCACAAGTATTCTTGTAAGACCTTACTTAAGTTGTGTTC